ATGCATTAGAAAGTAATTGATGCCGTGCTATATTATGACGTTTATTTTACCTTGCAAGTAAGTATGGGTATCTCGATGTGAACGAATGCGTGACCGAATAAATTTAATAGCCGTTATCTGATGATAGGCATTTTGTAGTGTGAGATGAAAGACCTATGGAAGAATCTCGTACCGTCCTTGTGTTTTCACAGGAAACTTTTTCTAAGACGTAGAACTTCGGATTCTATTGGGTTCGAGATAGTCTCAGTTGTTATAAGAAAAGTTGTGGAATATAAAGAGGAGGAGAAGTGTAGAGAAAGTGGAAGTAGAGGAGGAGGAGAAGGAGCCTGGAGAACGTGAAGTAGGAGTAGAAGGAATTCGGACAAAAATCGAGGAGGAAGAGTAGAAGGAAGTGTGAGAAATAAGAGAGAATAGATACAAAAGAATAGTAAAACTATAAGGACAGATGAAATTCGATGTCACACTGCTAATCAAGTGATGCTATATATATATATATATATATATATATATATATATATATATATATATATATATATATATATATATATATAAGATATAAGGGACTAGCGGAAGGAGTGTAATTGGAAATTTGAGTCATTGATTATTGAATTGTTATTTAATTTTGCTCATTGATTTTCAAACGTTTTTGCATATTTAACCATATAACCGTCGGATTGCTGACTGGTGGCTCGGAGCTTTACATCTATATTTCACTAAATGAAACTTCCAGCAAATTAAAGTCTGTGTGCGACTTCTAAAATAGTGTAAATAAACTATTGGGAGAACCCCACCCAACCAAAACAATCCCCACAGTTATGTAACTCATTCAGTTCTCTTACGAACATACCCAAACGAAGGAAATATTATCAATAAATCTGACGCAGAAAAAGTCTATCTTTCTGGCCTTAGCAAATATTTATTTTTCACATTCAACTTCACAAATGTTTTTATAAGCAAGAGCAAATGCATTTGTCACAGCTTTTCTGTTGAGATCAATCTTGCTATTAAAAATAAAACCGCTCGTTTCAAGACCAGTCTTATTAAAATATGAACTGTCCTAATCTGGTCGATATACGTCGGGATAGGCAGCTTGTCAAGTTTTCTATACAGTCAAACCGTGATAGTATTATCTGCTTGCAAATAAAGGGGATCAATTTCTTCCGCAACCAGAATCTAATTTCATGGAGGTTTAAATTTAATCAATTATTCAGAACAATCAAGCCAACGTGTTTGATCCATTTAGCTCTATGCTTTGTCTCGTTTGAACAACCTGAGACAATGAGTCTAAATGGCGGAACTGTTTTTAGATATTTTTGAAGAATATAAAAAATACATTGGCCTGAAGCTTTTTGGAATCATATAGTGGAATTATTGTGTCCATAAAAATCTGTAATAACAACAGTAGCAATAACCCAATCCATCGCTTGTATTGTAAAAATATAGGTTTTTTTGCACAGTAAGAGATGGGTCACTCAGTGTATTGGAACAAAGCTGCGACCTCAAATTTCATTAGTGATTTGGTAACTTTCCTCATTGACAAGCGGACAAGACAACTTGATCAAGTCTCATTGTTGTTCCCAGACCATTTCATCCATAATTTTATATTCCATTAGTGAGCAAAACAAACCCAAAGCATAATGTCAACTGCCCCATTCGTACCATAGTGATTTTCGTCATGCAAACATTTACATTGACACACATAATGACGTCATTAATGCTAAATCTCCATTTACCTCCATAGTGACGTCCGTAATGTTAAATCTCCATTGACCTCCAGAATAGCATCCAAAAAGTTAAATTCACATAGGCACTCGTACATACATAAGTAGTTTAAACATAGTACATCGAAACTCCAAAAGATCATCAAGATCCAATTTATCCCCTTATGTTCCCGGACACTTTCCAAATACCTACTTCAATCTCCCCAATATCAGGCCCTATAATTACTTATCTATTTAATTGTTTCCTACCATTTATCTTTATCAGTCTTCTTTAAATGCATGTATATAAAAATCCACGATGCTTCCATCCTTTCATTATGATGTAGCCAATAATGTGTCCAATGCTGTTAAAAAACTAAACGAAACAACGCCATCTATACCATGTCATTTATTATTTCATTGTTTATTCCAATCCCACATTATTGCTACGTAGCTGTCCACCCTGGTCTGCATGTCTATCCATCCATAATCATTATGTCTGTGCTCTTTGTACTTCGTTTCCGTCAATAGCTTTGCTACATTTTATTACTTATTTGCTGATTATCGTGAGACGGTGCTGAAAACATATTTTTCAAACCATGTTATCAGCAAATGACAAGGAGCAAACGCCGTAAGGTGGAGTACTCATGAGGTCTTTAAGGTTATATGGAATACTTTCTTAAAATGAACCCTCCATAACTTCTTTACATGTATAATTTTGTATGATATTTAAATGCGTAAGTGGTATGTAAGAGCGAAAATTTAATAGGTCCTGATATAATGTGCCAATATTCGGCTTGGTAAGGCTTAATGATACGTGATACTAAGGAAGAAGCAAGAAAACCCACGCTAGTGTGAAAATCTTGATGGGTGGTTTGTTAGGACCGATTTCATTAAATTCCAGCGGTGTAACTGTAATTGATTTTGTCTGACCGAGCGCCGTTCCAGCATAGTCCATCTCTTTGATGTTGCGAGCCTACGTTCATCTCAGAAAGACTAAATAAATTCAATGCAACTGTTCAAAGTTACCCAGATTTATCATTGACCTCGTTGTCTCTGAATCACTACACCAAAGTGGATAACTGTTCAAATGCGGGCTATGCGTATTGTGCCAAACAGGCTTCATTGTACCTGTCCAGTTGGTCACTTACAAAGTTGATATATAATACATCGTGGAAACAAAGTTTATAAAACATCAATTTATTAGAGCATAATTTGAGTAGAAAAAAAAGGATGCAAGTACGCTTACATTCCTAACATGAGTTAGTACTAATGTGCCAGTTTATAATGATATTTACATCTGATTTTCTGTTGCAGACCCCATTGCAAAATCCAGGCTTAAAAAAGGTGGCAGAGGAAGCAAGAAACCATAGGACACATTATCCGACCTTATAATAAAATGAACGCCAATGAAAACAAAACTGCTGGGTTGACGGATATGGCAGGCAGGAATATGTCTGGACTTGATCTGAACTTTGAAATGACAGGCTATATTTTTGCTCTTTACATAGTGTATCTCGCAGGATCCATGATAATCGGAGTCCCAGGAAATTCCATCCTATTTGCCATTTACTGCAAACACAAGCCAATCTCTAACGTAGACTATTACATATTATCGATTGCAGTTTTTGACCTTGTTTGCCTTTTAGTCACGGTCCCAATGTATATCGTGATACAAACCAAAATATTGTATGTAATTGACGTAAAGACTCTTTGTAAGGCTCTATACTTCACAGGGCAGATCGTAACCTTTGCGGAATCTTTTTTATTATGTGCTTTGGCTATTGAACGCTTTATTAAAGTCTGTAGGCCAAACTTCGCATATTCTCTTGATCGTCGAGTAAAATATATTATTGTAACTATATTTTTGTCCACTGTTGTCATCTCCGTTCCGAATTTATTCTTTTCCTGGATTATTAATAACAGACACTGCGTACCAATAACAAAACCTCCTTGGATTGCATCTGGCTTCTTTCTCTTATCAGTCAGTCTATTTATTGCCATATTTGTAATCGTGCTTTTGTCCTATACGAGTGTGGCAACCACGCTATATCAAAGTTTGAAAAAAACAACACATAATTCAATAGCTTCAAGAAAGATAACACGACGGAATAAGATCTTGCCGCTGCCAACTCAGACAGAGTTAAGACCAACTACTTCCTGTACGCATGAGAGAAGAACCCACGAAACTTTCCTGCATTTGCAGACAAACGTTACGAGTATACAAATTAGCGCAAGCAACCAAACTTCTAAATACCTGTTAACGGGCGATGCTGCTTGTTTGGAAAAACACAGCTCTGACGGAGACAATCCTAACAGAGATATCATGGAAAAGAATGAAAACGATGACAAGGATCCTATCGTTATGGGAAAGGCAGCTGCGAAAACAGATCGCCCCTCAAGAACATGCGCCGATATTTCGACTCAGACTGAACAGATTACTACCAAAATCACACCGCGTGAAAAGTTAGTACCTAAATCATTTGAAAATATGACTTTAGCACAGAAAAGAAGACTCTTGATGACAACCAAAGTTACGTTTCTGGTCACAATAACGTTTATTATCTCGTGGTTTCCGGTTTGGATCTACACAGTCCTAGTGTATACCAATAAGTACAAGGACACATCCGGAAGTTACTTTCTCAAACAATCCTATCTTGTTAACACATTTATGAACCCAATTATTTACTTAGCGTGCAATCGTAACTTTAGGAACAAAGCAGAAGGATTGTTCTTCAAAAATAAAATTAAACAATCAGTTCTGAAAGTAAGATCATGAAGGCTGAACAACTTCCCCGAATAACAATAATAAATATTATTCAAAGCCTTGTGTCTGTGTGTAAGGTAAAATAGTTCACCGATCGTTATCCGATTTAATACAGCAATTCAAGATTTGAATCAACAGTAGTAGACACTACGTAATATTTTATCAGATGCGAACCACTGGGTTCCAATAACACTCGATAGCAAAATCGTTTTGTCATTTCTGACATTCATTAATTATTTCATGTTGTGTTACTTTTTAGGTCAATAGTAAACATAACAAGGGGCGATAATCTATGTATCAAAAGTTCTTTATGGACAACTTAGGCAGTTATTTATCGTCTGAGTCAAACAAGTACAACATTCTGGAAAGATCTTTAAATAGAAAAATAGTTCATGTTCCATTGAACATTTAAAAGTTTTTTTTGTCCAGTACTTTATGAGTAAATAAGATGCTTATTTGACTACTTTTATGCTGCTCAAAATGATTTAATAGGATGTCTATTTAACAGTACCAAATGACCAAATAATATGAACGCTTCTGTGGCCTATTGGTTAGAGCGTCCGCCTCGGATGCGGGAGGATGTGGGTTCTATCCACCGGCAGAGTCATACCAAAGTTTTATAAAAATGGCGCTAATAGTTTCCTCTCTTGGCGCTCGGCATCAAGAGGTTAGTGTTAGGACTGGTCGGCCTCGTGTCAGGATAATGTAACTGGTGATACATCATGCTACCTGTCTGTGACATGATGTTCCAGTGCTAGACATCACTACAAACTGCCACACTGCAGACATTGTAGTGATATGACTGAAAAATTGTTAAAGCTACATTAAAAATCTAATCACACACACACACACACACACACACACCCCAGCGCGCACACAGACCTGCTTACTTAGCTTACTTAACAGTATGTTTCATGTTGTACGAAATGACCCAATAAAATGGTTACTTAACAATATTTTTTTCACTTTGGGTGTAATAGCATGCTGACCGTTTTCTATTTTGTAATAATAAATGTTACTCCTACAAATATAGATATTCATAATTTTAACCGGAATAATTACGGTAATGAAACCATGTGTCACGCGTAATTACCTATCTACATCCATCAAAGAATTAACTCTTATCAATTTTGAAATTCATTTTTAGTAACTATTATACACTTCTGATGTTTCAAATATAATTGAGGAGTCCACGTCAAGTGACGTCCATGCGTAATTTTTCTTAAATTTTGATTCTTCATTGCATTGTTAGAGACGTTATCAGTATCTCTGAACGTTTCCGCGAAGCTATGTTAGCCGCCTCTTGATTGGTCGCTTGAAATGCGTAGTCGGCAGCGAGTGGCTTTTGGCGATTGTTAAGGTTGCAGAAGTACGCGCCTTTTTTATATAAATACTATAGCATTTAGGGGGTTGGTTAGAGCTTCTTGTAAAGTTTGTGTTGTAAACACGTCTTTTGAAATCTAACCCCTCTATTTCTGTACAGTTCGGTATGCATACGATGTTCATTAAACGTACAATTCTACATTTGCTTCAACGTATGTACTTTACTAGCTTAATTCTTCTTTGGTAATCTTACCTGATTTACCGAGAACTCATCTAAGTTATACCGATTTCTCACAAGTCAATCTGCACATGTTGGGTGGTCATAATTAGTATTCCAATGCGTATTTGTTGCAATATTGGTATGCTACCAATATATTGATATGTTACTCCTATGTTACTCCTGCGTTGTACAAAAGTTACAAGAGTAACATACGCCTGTGTAGCCTCGTACAAAAGTTACAAGAGAAAAGAGTGAAGTTAGCAAGGACTTACGGTTTATGAATCTAATAAAAAAAAACTAATCCTGCAATTTAAAAATATAAGTCTTATCACTAAAACGTTCTAAATGAATCAAAGTTCGAATCCCAATGAAGTTCCAAAAAGGAAGGCGAAGACGTCTTCTCTAACTAGTTCTGTGTTCTCGAGCCACCATTTTCTTGCTGAATTTTATGAATCAAGAATAATATCGGGTCTTAGATTTCCAAAGAATTTTCAATAAATGTCTTTGTCTAAGAATTTTTAAGGTCACTGATATTTTCCAGGGAATATAAATTAATAATATCCCCAAAAATAGAAGAATTTAAAATCAAACTGACATCAACAGTGAGTTGTGAAGGTGTAAATTACCACTTACTAAATCCACTACAAAACATCAATTTTAACCAGCAATTTTAGATCACATTGTGGGGTCACGTCAGCACTTAGTTCTAACAAAGCAGCAAAAATATATGTCAATTAGCAAGTAGATTATACGGGTTTGATTGTACTGAACGAAACTTACTATAAGATTCAAAAAATAAAAAAAGAAGAAAATGTTTACAATAGAGTTAACACGCAATCCAAGTAAGACCTTGATTACGACCAATGAATTTCACTCTGTGTTTACCAATTCTGAATCAACATCAGGAACTAGGTCAGCTAAACATATATTGTGGCAACGAACTGTGTGTTTATCAGGCCAAAACAGAAAACTGAATGTTTAGAAAAAAGTAAAATCCAGTGAATAAAGTTAATCATTACAAAAACTTGAAATGAAATAAAAAATAAAATAAAAAAAATTTAAAACTGACACACAAGTAATTAATTATGTATAGATGACAGGTACATTTATCCAGATAGGGCTTCTGTGTAATTTAGCGGTAGGAAAATTTCGATTTGACTTAGTTTTACTATGTTTCATCATTCAGTTATATGGCACTATACCGGCGTGTCCTAAAAACGTAGGTGGAATCTGCATTCTGTTACAAGTCGCTCTCAAATACTTTAATACAGACTGAAATGGATTCGTTAGGGATTTTCCATGCAGTAAATTCCTTTCCTGTTAAATTATCTTCCACATTTTGAAATTCAATGCCAAGAAATCTAATATTTGAATGAAATGTATATAAAAAAGATGTTATTAGCCTTATTTAATTCTTTCTTATTATTTGTATCCTCTGGTTCAGTATTTAGTCAATGTTATTGATTATTTTTGTGGCGTCGTCGTTTGTAATGGTTTTTGTGCTCTTTGTTGTCTGTACGTGGCTAGAGCGTCCTGTAGTATGAATGTCTTTAGGCCTTATGCGGTGTAATACATTATAACCAAATAATATATTTACTTGATACCATCTTTTGTCCTTACATTATGAACAAATAAGATGATCCCATGATACCATGCTGGTCCCTGCTTAGATATTATGCTTACTTGCCTGTATTTTCGTCCGTTACATTTTGATCAAATAATAAACATTCTTTACAACATTTTTGTTTTGTATATTATGACCAAATAAAATGCTTATTTGAGAGCATTTATGTCATGTACATTATGACCAAATACTGTGTTTACGGCATTTTTGTCATGTACATTAAGACTAAATAATGTGCTTATTTGACACCATTCTTTGTGTTATGCACAATCACCAGATATTACATCTACTTGATGCCATGTTTTGTCCAGTGCATTTTGACCAAACATGATGCTTATATGACAACATGTTTGTATTGTACATTATGACCAAATAATAACCTTACTTGACAGTATATTTATCCTGTACATTATGCCCAAATAATATGCTTGGTTTAGAGCATTTTTTTCTGTACATTATGACCAAATATGATGCTTACTTGACAACATTTTTATATTGTATATTATGACCAAATATATGCTTACTTGACAGAATTTGTTTGACCCTGTGCATTATAACCAAATAAACTGCTTTCTTGACAAACTCTTTTGCCTTGTATATTTTGACAAAAAGGACGGTTACTTCGCACCTTTTTTACCCTGTTCGTTGTAATCAAATGACACGCGCACTTGACAGCAGTTTAGTCCTGAGCGTTATTGCTAAATAGGATGCTTACTTGACAGCATTATGTGTCCTGTACATTATGGACAAATAACATGCTTACTTGATCTCATTTATATGCTGTACAAACAAGATAAACAAGATACTCACTGACACAATTTTCGCACTGTACAATATGACGAGAGCAGAATCGACGAAAGCAATACAAAATCATATTACCTAAAACATTAAAATATATAAGTATCGATTTTGTTGGAGTCATAATTAATCAACTCATAGAACTTCTCCATTGCCACGAATTGTTTCTCCGATACGTAGAGATTACAGTGACACTTTCTAACGAGGCGCTTTTAAAGGGTTTATTTATATTAAATTCATGACCATGAAATGGAATGCACATTAAATTGTATGATTTCATAAATGTTGCATTATTTTTCATTATTTTATATAATTACACTTACTTCACTTTTTATGGATTGACGAAATATTACAGTTAGTTACAGAGACAGGACACAAAAGGATAGATAACCATATGATACCGTCGAAAGGAGAGTTAAAATATTAAATAAAATAAATAACAAATAATGAAATTCATGAAACTGATGAATAACGTTCATACATATGTCAGTATATTATTGAGTTAAATATATTTCAGGGAATATTTCAGATTTATTAATAAACTGTTGAAATAAATTTACACCTTTTCTTCGTTAGATATGTTCTTGATCTGTTATAGATATGTATAGCATATATCATTTTATACTATAGTTTTATTTTGAGTAATTTCAGTTAATAATATTTTTATGATTGCTAATTCTAACACTATCGAACGCACTCTAAAGATGACGTTACAAGTGAAGTGTACATGTACAATATGTTGTGAAATTTCCATTCATAAATGAAGGTCGATGTCCACGTTTATGTCCAGAACTATTTTGTTCAAAATAAGAAAGATCAAACCATGACAGTCAAGATATTTCAAAATAAACAATTTAATAATTTGGAAATCTCTCGAGATTTATTTATCTGAAACGCATTAGGTGACTATATGAGAGAATAAAACCGCCGATATCATTCTTCAGTTATATTCTAGTCCTGTAAGAGTCTTGAGGTGAAAATTGATTTATTTATAATTTCTTCGCTGAAATTGCAGAGAGACAAACTTTTATCCTAAACAAAATGGACCTTGATGGATTTGTTGCGAAAAGTTTCAAGTACTTGAATATTTAAAAAGTTCCGTTGGATTACTAGAACTTTTCAATGACTTTAGTGATATTGAACTTTCAATGGATTGCTTTGATGTAAGTAAATGTGGATATTAGAACTGTGTTTATTTATTGATGCACATGAGCACATTTGAATCTTCATTCGAAATATCTTTGGATTGTTTCCAGCGTACCGTGACATTGACAGTAAATTTAAGATATTTAGGAATTCATGCATACAAGTAATTGTTTTTAATTCTGTCACTTTATTTGATTTTTATATTATAGGGAAATAAATGCATATTTTAGACAATTGAAAGCTTGTTGGGATTTACCTTGACTTGTTTCATGCTCTAAGCCCGTAAAACGCACCAGTTCATAAACATGAATGGGTTGTGTTGTTAAACAACGAGAGAGAGAGAGAGAGAGAGAGAGAGAGAGAGAGAGAGAGAGAGAGAGAGAGAGAGAGATGTATATATATATATATATATATATATATATATATATATATATATATATATATATATATATATATATATATATATATATATATATATATATATACATAAATGCGT